CCCTTCAATTAGCGTCAAATATGCTTTGTTACAACATCATTGATTGGCTGAGAGTCACCTGATCGGAGCACGAACTGGGTCACAGAACCATATTTGTCCGTATTATCAACAGGACTTTGCAAAATAACCACACCCACATTTTCAATCATTTTTAGCGCGGAAGTTGCCAACAAATGTAAAAAGCACAGGGGCAAAAATGCATAACTGAGGCATGTGGCTGCTACGAAGAACATTGTTCATGCATGTCATATTGTAACTGTACTGGTGAATATGGCTGCTGCAATCCATACACGAACAGACGAGATGTTGAAGTTACATACGAAGTGGGTGTGGACATGGAGGATGCTGTGGAGACTTTTCAGGATAATGTAGACCAGGATGCTGAGTAAGATTTTGATGAGGATGCTGAACAGGAAGATATAGAGAGTAGTCTTTCTGATCCTGATAATGAGTGGGAGCAAATAGAATTTTAATTTCAGATATAAAAGATAAAAACTATTTACTTTGTGTCTATTTTGTGTCTAATCTAAGCTTCGCCCTGAGCTTTTACACATGAGATTAACCAACAATTGAACAATTACACCAGGGATGAATTTTATGGACAGAAAAACCATAAAAAAAGAGGTATTGCACATTAATCTAGGACAGGTGTGTCAAAAGTTTGATGGCCATCTTGGATTATGCAAATTAGCAGAGTTGTCCAATGTTGCAATTTGGGCAATCAAGCTAAAATTGTTCTAGGGCTCCATACAAACGTAAATCAATAAAAAACATAGGTAACAACATTTCTTGGTTTAAAATTAGAAACCGACTACCAGGGTAATATGTAACTATTCATCACTGACTTTGAGCGTCAATCAGATATAGAACTAAATAGAAGACAGTGTTTGAGTCAAATTCAGACATTGCTACTCCAATAGTGTTGCGACAATTCAAGATATTCGTACATTAAACATGACAAGTATTTTAACAACTTGTGATGAATCTTTTCCAGCAATACTAAGAATATACCACTCATAGTCATTCACATGCACCAATATTTTGAGCATTCATTTATAACATGATAATAAAATTAGTAATTAGTATTAACATATTAATAAACTGGGGTTTACCACTTTGCATACGAATATAGGTAAACACATTATTTCTATGTAAAATATAGCTCAATTGTTTAGTGCAAATCGCACCTGCCTTAACGTGAAAAATTACATTTTGCTCTTATCACATTACAATGACATTTTTGCAATTTCAGTTCAAATTGTAGTTTATAATGATATTGGCTTTCCTGTGACTTTAGTCAAATCATCTTAGTTTACACGTTTTGGTGGTTGCAGGGCATCACAGACTACTTTCTGTGGCAAGTGATTGTCCTCATCGTCTTCCCGACATTGGTGTACGGTCTAGAGAGAGAGAGAGAGAGAAAAAAGAGTGCGCGTGAGAAGGGGGAAAAGGGGCGTGAGGAGTGGGGTTTGAAGCAGCCAAATGTGAGGCTGAAAAGTTGAAAAATGAACGTGAGGCAACAGAGAAAAATGAGACCATGAGAAGAGTGAGAAGGTAAGGGAACATAAAGAAAGAGAGAAAGAGAAAGCAAGACAGCATGAACTTGAAGTGTTGAGTCTGTGTGTGAAAGCTGATGGTCAAAATAAAAAAAAAGCATAGAAAAGTTGCCTCAGTCCAAAACTACCATTGTTTGACGAACTAGGAATGAGGTGGACGCAT